TATTTTCTCATTCCTCATATGGAAAGCTATATGCTGCTTGCGCTGGAGAATGAAAACTGTACACAGTGTTCAGGGTGCAGATGCATTCTGAATCTGTGCAGCATCATTTTGGTATTCTGTGTTTTGTTCATCTTTTCTTACCAATTCCTAGCATTCACTTTGCTTTTTTTGACCCAGCCAAGTGCAGGCATTTTCCTAGAACTGTTGAGATTCTGGGACTCTTTCCTGAGTTGTCATTTTCTATTTGAGGGCCCAACAGTATGTATGTAAGGTTAGGGGAGTTCTTTTTGTACATCACTTCATGTTTCTGTACAGTGAATCATACCTGTTCTTTTATCACTCAGCCATTCATTGTCATGAAATCCTTCTGCAGCTGTAATGGGGCGGCGGGTGTTGGGACCTAAGGAATAAAGAGTGCACAGGGTTAGTTTATGCGGTATAGAATCATAGAATCACTTTGGTTGGAAAAGACCTTTGAGATCATCGAGTCCAACCTTTAACCTCACCCTGCTATCCCACCACTAAACCCTGGCCCTAGCACCTCATCTGTCCTTCTTTTAAATTTTTTTTTCTCCTCGTCCCATTGCCCGTTACCAGGGAGAAGAGGCCAACCCCCACCTCGCTACAGCCTCCTCTCAGGCAGTTGTAGGGAGCGATGAGGGCCCCCCTCAGCCTCCTCTGCTCCAGACTAAACAACCCCAGGTCCCTCAGCCGCTCCTCATATGACTTGTGCTCCAGCCCCCTCCCCAGCTTGGTTGCTCTCCTCTGGACACGCTCCAGCAACGCAACATCTCTCTTGTAGTGAGGGGCCCAAAACTGAACACAGGATTCGAGGGGCGGCCTCACCAGCACCAAGTACAGGGGCACGGTCCCTGCCCAGCTCCTGCTGGTCACACTATTCCTGATACCGGCCAGGATGCCATTGGCCTTCTTGGCTACCTGGGCACCCTGCTGGCTCATATCCAGCCGCCTGTCAACCAGTACCCCCAGGTCCTTTTCCACCAGGCAGCTTTCCAGCCACTCTTCCCCGAGCCTGTAGCGCTGCATGGGGTTGTTGTGACCAAAGTGCAGGACCTGGCACTTGGCCTTGTTGAACCTCATACAGTTGGCCTCAGCCCATCGATCCAGCCTGAATGGTATGGGGCAGGGAGAGGCAGGAGCAGGGTCAGCAGCACTGTGTACAAGAAGAAAAGAGGGCTGGCTTTTTGAGGCTGAAGTCTCTTCCAAAAAACAACGATCTCCTCCTCTGCTTCACGGCCCTGCTGATTCTGATCCTGCTTCACCGTCTTCTGCAACACGTGCGTGTTGCAACGTGTGTACTTCTGAAGTCCCTGCCCTTATAGCCCCTCTGTGACACCAGTTATCATGGGGAAAACGCCGTGCAATGTCCAACTCAGACACTTCTGTTGAGACAGAAGTTCCCTCCCCCTCAGTAATTACCCTGTTTTTCCATCCTTCCCCCCTGATTTACTTGACTGGTCCCGATTCATCTCAGAAAGATGACGATCGTGAAAATGTAACTGTTGAGGAAGGCGCAGCAAGACACTCACTCTGAAAGATTTCTGTCGAATGTTCTGGACAGATGGAGTGGCTGAGACTGGCAGTCACAAAGCTTGCCCAAAAAGAGGGAGAGAAAGCAATCAGATCACAACAAAATTGCATCTGCAACCCCAAATCCTAAGCTATTTGCAGTCTTCTTAAAAAATGACTTTTTGATAAAGCCTGGTAACATGGGTAATACCAAACTGCTACCCTACAGAAAGAAGGGGTGCCTTCATTATTCTTACAGCATCTATTAACCTGACTCTGGTCCCAAAACTCCTTCCCCTTCCAAAGAGTCAGTCCTGCAGCCAACAAGCCTGTGCTTAGAACAAGGCACAACTGCATGTGGAGGGAGAAGCTGCATCTCTGCTGCTGAGTTGATCATTGCCAAAGTCCGGGCACAAGAACTGGAACTCAGTCAATCCATTCTGCTGAATTCCCTGACGTAGCTTTGGCTCGGGACAAGCTAGCGGTCTCCTAGGCAATCCTTGGCACAGCTTGGCGTTCAGCAGAGGCCAAACATCATTCCTGGCAGGCAATCTGAACATGGCCGACGCCGCTCGGCGGAGGCAGAAAGCTTGAGGGTGTGAACACAGCTGGTTTGTGCCGGTTGTTCTGAGGGCCAGGGGAATGCCCAGCATCACCGTTCTGTTTACTGGTGTAGAAGTAGCCAGAGGATTATGCACCAGCAATAAGGCAATATTTGCATGAAAAACTTTTTCCTCCTGCATATTCTTGCTGTAATTACATGAACGTTTAGCTGAAATTCACTGGTCAGGTTAAGAAATTTCATGGAGCCATCAGAAACTTTCCTGGGAGCCCCCTTGAGAGCTCAGCTAGTCCACGTCCTTTCCTCAGGGCAGGAGCTAGGATGCATTCCTGACGGATGTTTTCTTCAGTCTGTTCTGAGAGATGCCATTGATGCAAAGACCAAAAACTCCCAGCAAGTCTTGCCCTTCCTGCTTTGTTAACTTTATCCTTAAAATGTTTTTCTTAGCCTCTAATCAGCATGTTTTCTTCCTTCCTTGGGTTTAAACCCAAGATTTCCTGTCCTATCCACCATAGACACAGGGTGCAGGTTATTTGATTTCTTCTCCCTACTGCCTTTTACATAACCGGAGATGTTTCCTCATCTCATGCTGATTTTCTTTAGTATAAAATTCTTTCTGTGTTTTAGTGTGTTTGTTTATTCTCCCCTTCCAAATTGCTCTAAACAAATCCAAACCCAAACTAGACCAATCTGTCCTGGCTTGCTGGTTATATACTGCTGGAATGTTTCTTGTAACATCTGTTCAGACATATGCAAGGTTGCAGCTATGTGCCATACATCCCGCTGAAAGGAACGGGCGTATTTATCAGCGGTACTTCATGCAGCATTTAATAGCAGAGTAAGTACTTAACAGCTGGTGAGGTTGCCTGTTGTTCCCAGGCAGCTTTGCAGCTCAGACCCTTTCAAAAAGGTTAAGGGGAAAAAGGTTAATATCATCTTGCTTGTTTGAAATTCAGTCCTAAGCTGCGCTTTGTGCCCTTTACACCTAGGCTAGTGTGGTCTGAGAAGGAAGCCAAAATTCATCCAGTAGAAAATGATGCATTTCCAGTGACCGCATTAAGAAAATGCAGTGCCAGGTGTATGAAGCCTTTCAGATAAAATGATCGTTTTAAAGCCTTTTGCAGTTTCTCTGCTGACTAGGATTAAACCTGCATGGTTCATTAGCACAACAGGCAGATACCGTTCCTGGAGGACCCCATCTCCCGAGCTCCCTGCCCCAGGAGGAATTGCCTCTTTGCTTACAGAATCACGGAATTGCAAGGGTTGGAAGGGACCTCGGGAGATCATCTAGTCCAACCCCCCTGCTAAAGCAGGCTCTCCTAGAGCATAGGGAGGTAGGAACAGGGGAGACCTTAGAGGGACTGAAACAGGTAGGGTATTTTGCGAGACTGTTAGCTAACATGGAGTAATTATTAAAATACACGAATGGAGTATGTAATCCAAACTTGTGTTACTTAGAGTACTTCAAGTCCTGTTTGGTGTCTTTATTTTTTGTGATTCTAATGAGGCTTTTGGCTTTCCTGGGTATGGCCAGGATCCTGCTGCTGGAGGCCTGCTGTCTGGCTCTTCCCGGACACTGCATGCCAGGCTTCTGGGGCAGGGATTCACGGCTATTGGTTTTGCTCCTAATTTTGGTTTCACACTTCCCAAACTATTGCTACACCCACTTTAATCATGGGTGAACTATTTTATTCCAGCATCTCTATTTAATTTTTGTTCCTGCTTTTTTTTCTCTCCGACTTCCCCATGTTTTGCTGCTGCATTACGGTTGCAAGCTGTTGTACATTCTGCATGTTAACTTATCCAGCCTTTCTAGTACTACTCTGAGAATATGTTAGAATTGTAGGACCATTCATGTTGGTAGGGACTTCAAGGAGATCTCCAGTCCAACCTCCAGCTCAGAGCAGGGGCAGCTTGGCCTCCACCAGGTCGCTCAGGGCTCTGGCCAGTTGGGTCTCTGAAAACCAAGGATGGAGGTGGCACAGCCTCTCCAGGCACCCACTCCATTGCAGACTGTCCTCATGGGGGTGAAATTTTTCCTTATGTCCTGGCTGGCTCTTGGTTTTTTTTTTTGTCCTCCCGCCTTGCACCACTGTGACAAGCATGGCTCCATCTTCCTGCTGGCCTCCCAGTAGGAACAGAGTGGTGGCTACCAGGTGTCCCTCAACCTTTTTTCTTCTCCATCCTGTCCAAGCCCCGGTCCCTCAGCCTCTCCTCAAAGGGCAAGCGCTGACGTCCCCTGAGCATCTTGGTGGCTCGCAGCTGAGCTTGCTTCCAGTTTTTATGTCTTCCTTGTATTAGAGGCGCCGGATCAGGACACAGAATCAAGGTGTGGTCTTAACGAACGCTTAGCCAAGGGGGATAATCACTTCCCTTGATCTGTGGGCTGTGGTCCTACAGCCCAGGATGCTGTTGGCCTTTGGTGCCAGGGCACAAATTCATCTTGTGTCAACCAGGACCGCCAGGTCCCTTCAGCAGAGCTGTATCGCTGCCAGAGGCTCTTCCTTCCCAGGGGCAGGACTTTGCCTTCGTCCTTGTAAGGTCCCTGCTGGCCCCTTCCTCCAGCCTGGCTCGGTCCCATTGGTCACAGCTCTGCCCTCGAGCACAGCAGCTGGTCCCTGCAAATTTCGTGTTACCTGCAAGCAAGTGCTCCATTTCCTCCCCCAAATAAAAAATGTGACCCAGGACCAGTGCCCTGAGGCACTTGCTCGTTGCCAGCCTCCAGGCAGAGTACGGAGCATGACTGTCCAAGCCTGGGCACCTCACCTGCTGCTTACCCATCTGGTTGTCCACCCATCCAGACCCTCAGGTCCCAGCTCGCATATGCTATTGTGGGACACAATGTCAAATGCCCTGCTAAAGTCAAGGTAAATGGCATCCACCTCTCTTCCCTCATCCACAAATCCAGTCATTTGCTCACAGAAGGCAATCAGGCTGGTCACGTGTGATTTACCCATGGTAAATCCATGCTGACTGCTTCCAGTCATCATTTTGGCCATCTTGTCTAGACTGTGCTCTTGCCTAGAAAGCTTGGACCAGATGATCCTTGAGGTGCCTTCCAGCCTGGGATTCTGTGATGCTATGATTACCTCCTTTGTGTGACCAGAAATACACTCCAAGAGGAGGCACTCCATGATTTTCCCAGGGAGAAAAGACAGGCTGACCAGTCTGTATTTTCTCAGAATGTCTTTTGGGCCCTTTCTGAAGGTGGGTGCAACATTTCCCTTTCTTAGTTGTGGGGAATCTCCCATGATCTTAATTTCTTTTCAAAGATGGTAGAGAGAGGCCGTGTAAGGACACTGGTGGGCTTCCCCAGGATCCTTGGATTCAACTCGTTTTGTCCCACAGGCTTGTATGGGTAGAGACAGCCTTCTTGACTCATCCTCCTTGCCTGTCTTTCCTGAAGAGTTGGTATCTATCCATGCCAGCATCCAGCCATGTGAGCTTTCCTACCTTCAAGATTGTGAGGGACAGAAAGAAGTGAAGGATTGTACGCGTTTCACACATCGTCTCAGGAAAGCCGTATTCCTCAGCTTTTGCTCTGACCTTATTCGACTGATTTAGGGTAGGAACAGCATGTGTTTATGCCGTCCCCATTTAGACTGGGCGTTAATTACTGCAAAAGCCTTTGAAAGTTACTGCAACATGAGTGGTGTTCGTATGTTGTCCATCAGAATCCATGGAGCCCCTTTTTCCCCTCCTATCCATGTGATAGTACACGGAAATAGTTCCCAGCCGGGACAGTGGGATATATTGAGATGGAGAAGTAAATTAAGCATGGAAGTGGAGAGAGAATGATATTCTGACAGAAGGCAACACACGAATTCCACAGTTTGAGGGATGTATTTAGCCAGAAGTGGATCAGCTACTGTAAGGACAAGAAGGAAGGGGAAAGGAATCAGGCAGAGAGGAGAGCAAGAGAGGCAGGTGGGGAACAAGCTGGCACAGGCTGGGTGAAGGAGTTGATTAGTGCAAGTCATTAATCAGAGCCAGCATTTGTTTAGTTTGTGACTTAATCATTACCTGTTCTTACACATAAACCTGAAGAGAGCAAGGGAAGACCAGCTCTTGTTCATAATTCATCTCACTTAAGATGAGGAGGGAAAGGGAGGCAGGGAGAATCTAGGGAAGAAGCTCTTCCCACCGGCAGAAAAAATACTGCTATACAGAAGAGAACGTGGGTGGCAGTGATTCGTAAGGAGAAATCATGGTGGTGAGATCTGTCTCATTTGGCTTAGTAGTGATTTTGGAGGAGGACATGAAAACATCTCTTGAGTATTTGAAAGAGGAGGAGGAATTACTGAGGGTGGTCTAAAAGAACAAAAGCTACAATAGTAGGTTAAAATTTAGAAAGTACACATAAAGTATGAAGAGATTTTTCCTGACAGTGAACTCTTAACAGAAACTAGAGCTGCCTCTGAAAGGAAGTTTTTAACAAGATCGTTACTGGATTGGATATAGACAAGAAGTAAGGTGGGACTAACTGGGAAATAGACTCAAACCATAAATGCAATGGTTGTCCATCCCTTCATCTCGTGATAGCCTGATTGCTACAAAGGGGTCTTCTGCTTTCAGCCTGTTGGGAAGTAAGTGCTACAAGAATAAGGGAATGTAAGTATCCTAGAAGTGCTTGTCCCAGAGCTGCTGGGATTAGGGCATGCACGTTAAAGGATCTTTATTCCGGGCCAAACAGATGTCTCATGTAATATTTCTTTGTACATCCCTGTGTTTAAATGTTCCAATTTCCTGTGCAGCTTGGGAAGGAAAGCAGTCAGATGGACAGTCGAGCAGCCCTCAGAACTCCACCTCCAGTTCCTCTCCCTCTGTTAAGCTTGATAACTCCTTGCCAGGGTTGGGGAAGAAACCGTTCCAGAGATCTGACAGGCTCCATGCAAGTAAGATATTTATTTTTCTGCTTACAGAGGTTTGGTTGCTCTGATGACAGAACACAAGCCTAAATAGCAAAATTGAGTAAAATGTGTAATTAATTGCATTGCTGAAGTGACTTCTGGGCAACTCCGGAAGGTACTGCTGGTATGCTGTGTGAATTAGGATAAATAATTCAAACCTTACATATGCAAATAAGCCTTTCTCATTTCTTATCATCAGGGGTTTCTTCCTGTGAATGTGCAGCTTGCTGTTTGAGACGCACAAAAGGACTTGCGTTATTCAGCAGGCTTTCTAACGTACCTAAGGCACTTCGATAACATTAAAAGGAAAAAAGAAATTCCTTCCCAGATCTTTATGCTTCAGACCCCACTGGTACTTGGCTGCTTTCCCAGTCATTGAGGTTAGGTCCTTCTCAGCCCTCCTGACCTTTTGTGGTTTCTTTTACATGTACCAATGATGGAATTGACCTCAGTGAGCTTAAGGATATGCTGAGGTCACTATCTGTGCTAATCATCCTGGATTTCCTTTGTCACTGGTGGAAGCAGGCACTTTTCAGGGCATGTTTCATTTGTCCCCTGTAATTAGGAAATTCTGCAGCTTAAGTAGATTAAAAACCTGCAGAGCCATTTTCTGAATGACTCCTAATGGAGCAAACTTCCCCTAATGAAACGAGCCTCCATGGCGTTTATTTTGTTAGGTACTGTTACCTTAAAAATAATTGCTGTCGTCCCTGAAGTCAGGGGGAGCCAGGTCTGTCCTAATGTTACCCATTTTGTTAATAATGCATTTCTAGTCTAAGCTTCAAAACACACGGTGCTTTGCCGATAATGGCAGACGAATGCAAAGGAAACAGAGCACATGGTAGAAATGCTTTCTTCGTTATTCTTCTCTGAATTTGCAGGACATCCATGAAGCTGGCTGTAGCATAAGGGTTAATGCTGGACTCGCTGGCTTTCGAAACCAGAAAGAGAACAGTTGCTCATTTTTATGCTTTGTCTAGTGTTGTGGTTTCTACACAAGCACAGTGAGCTGACGAATTTTTCTGAAATGCTTTTCCTGAGAACAAAGTAGGAAAGTCCGAGAAGAAATCCCGAGGAACAAACTGACCTTACCTAGAGGCTTCAAATAGAAAAATGATGTGGGTAAAAGCAGTTGTAGAAAACCTCCTGAAAAAGACTCCTTGCCAGTTCCCAGATAGCCAGGATCCCTGCAAAAGTTGGGTGAACTGATGCAGGCTACAGTATGTTAGGTATGGAAATGTTCTGTGCTGGAAAGGGCCTCCCACATGTTGTTTTTAACTGTATGTGCAAAGGTAAAACGTGTCTTTCAAGTCAAGGTTTGAAATGGATTACTGAGGTGCCATTTTGAAAATCTCAGCCAGCTCCAAAGGCGCCTTTAATCCTCTGGTAGCTAAGATGTTACTTCTGTCTCTGTGGTTCATTGCAGGGCAGCTGAAGAGAACAAAGTGTGCTGAAATCGATGTGGAAACCCCCGACTCCATCCTCGTGAACACAAACCTGCGGGCACTGATCAACAAGCATACGTTCTCCGTTCTGCCTACAGAATGCCAGCAGCGCCTGCTGCTGCTGCTGCCGGAGGTGGACAGGCAGGTACGTCGTGGTTTCTCTTGTGGAGAGAAGCTAGGCTCTTAGGTGTCAGTAGGGAACATGTCCAGAAGTAATTCAGTCTGGACATCCAAATACTGTGTTTCTGTCTAAGGGACAGACTTTTTCTTCTGTGCACAGTGTAAAAAAAAAAAAAAAAAAAAAAATTGGAAAATTCTTCAGGGATTCGGTGCTACCCGAAAAAAAGACTTAAGGTTTGTAAAACCAGGGGCTTAATTTTGTTCAATCAAT